TATAGTTAAATAATCAACTAGTTTTCTATACTAATGCAAATGTCTATGGTTCAGTATCATTCTACTGCATAGAGCGTGGTCGTAAGAAATACGATTGAATGGAGCGATATGTTGGAATGGAGTTTATTTCAGGTTTCCACGATCATTGCCACCAATTAAAAACATCAAACAAACAAGACGTGTTCAAAATTATTAAATGGGAAAACAGCATAATATCAGTATTTGAATTTCCTATGAATTAAAATTTTGAAACTCCAAGTTGCAATACCATTCCAATGGTTTAAAGCTGCCCATTTTATACACTTTTTTCTTACTATTTAAAATTTGATCTTGCTCTGGAACCACCTATTTAAATTTTAAGTGCTTTAAGAAACAATTGTTTACCCGAAAAAACGAAAAAACAAATACGTCGAATTGTCGCAATTGAAACAAAGAAAATATGATGAAAAGTAGATTTAAAGCAATCATCCAAAAAACTGTGTGTGACGATTATGAGATCAACGGAATATACATCGAGTAGCGATTGAATGAATGATTGAATGGGTTACAGTTTCATAAATGTTAAGCGATTATATAATTGCCTGCTTTTATCGTTGTGGACTTATGTTACAAAATTCAACACAATTCGCGCATATTGAATTCAATTGTTTTTCAAAAGCGAGAACACTGCCATTTGTTTTCTCGCTTGCTGGGACTCTTTGCTCACAAGCACTTTTTTTCACAGAATTGCATCGTATTTTGCACAAGATTGTTTGTCTTGCAAAATGTAAATTCAAGCACTTTTTTTGTATTTAATTCGAGCTAATTTTGGTTTTTGAATCGTTCAACTTGCAAACATTTTTAAGCGGTTGCCATACACTCATAATAAATCGTCACGTTACGTGGTTTACGTCTTACAAGATGTCTTCAGTCATTTAGAACCATTAAGATAAAGAGAGAAAGTGGTTTTTTTAATGTGACTATGGTTTCAAAAATAAAGCTTTCAGTTCATTGCTCTTCACAGTATGCAGATTCACCGAAGAATATATATAGGAAACAAAAGATATTGTGGGTGCTGCGTCGACAATAAATTCAATAACGTAATGGTTTCCACAACATAGTAAGCTACACGAAATTTTAAGCATCAAATTAGATGAAATATATATTATTAATTGCTTTCTCAATGTCGTAAACAATTTTTCAACAAAGAAGTAAATATTGAATTTTGCAACCATGGTTATACATAAAAAACTAAAGTTTATATATCTTGGTTGAGATTATTTTAATGATCTCATTTAAAGTTATGGTCAAGATTGACAACATTTGATAAAAAAAAACAACACGTCGCCTTCAAATAGCTTATTTGTGACATCGTAATGGTCATAAATGCCGAAAAAGATGAACAAAAAGACAACATCACACAGTTCAGTATAACGTGTCAATCGTTGTCCAACTTAAACCAAATAAATAATTACGAAATGTCGATAATTTCTCTGATGACAATCGAATTAAAGATCAGCTTGACCATTTGCATTGAATGGTTTTTTGAAGCTGTATTTGTGCCACGCATCTTGTGTCTTGCCTTTATTTTCATAACTCATTGCTGCTTATGACCTAAAAACCGATTTACGATGATTGAATGAATGTTAAAGCTATTGTATGAAATTCACATCGGTAACATCGGTTATATTGTAAATGCCGACTAAGTGAAGTCCGTACGTTTGTTGTTGTGTCTACCAAAGTGGTTGCGCACAATCTCCCGCACTCTCTTTAAATTTTTGTTCAGCGAAGTCCAAAGAGTAATGAATACATTTGTCGTTGCATGGCAAACATACTCTAGTAAGTATGGCAAGTGCAATTCGGCGCTAAGATATACGCGAAATTATCACATGATCATTGAGTTTTACTTTTTATTTTTGTGTATGTTTTGACGGCGAATGTGAAACGTTGCGTTATTCCTGATTCATATCGACATTATAAATAACCGAAAAAAAGAATATTTGTATCGAAAAAAGATGTAGAAATAAATAAATTGTCAATTTGTTTTTAGCGTCGATGGAAGCGATTCCTATGCAAATTTTGTTAATTTTTATAAATATAAATCCAACTGTTTCAATTCAGCATAGCAAATCAACGAGTCATGTTTACAACTTTTTTTAAAATTATAATTTAAATATGTAATTTTATTTTTCATAATAGAATTGTAAAAACGTGATCAAAAGTCATGAAATATTACCGTCTGATCAAATCAAGTCGAATACGTTTAAAATAAAGAATTGACAAATCCAACAAACTTCTCCCATACTAATGAGTACAATGAATTTATTTTTGTTTAGTTTGTTTGAAAAATAATTCAATATACGCTTGAAAAATATCTGAAAACTGACGTGATCATGACTGCAAACAAAAAAGTTATGCTGTAACAGCTGTTGCAGAAGAAAGAATAATCGTTTCTGTAGAAATCAAGGCAATATTTGATTATTTCGATCTTTTTTCATTTGCACTTTTAATTAACACTTTTTGTTGATTTCGATTAACCTGAATTCACGAATGCAAATGGAATCTGTCGGTAACGCGATGTATTGATAACGTGATGAGTTTTGCGATGAACGGTATGCGATAACTTGTTTTATTAACTTGTTTCTTCGACAGTATTTCTGCATTTTGAAAAGATCTAAACATTTTTATTGATATATATTTATGGTTATTTTTTTCTCTCTTTTTCAATTGCCATTTACATATACTCAGTAGCAAAGTTTTTACATGATTTGATCCATAAATTATGAGCTATATCAACTTCGATATATGTGAAGAAGTCACAATTGTCTGAACACGTTCGGATACAGGAAAAAGAGTGGTCAAGATGTCACTACGTAATTTAGTTGAATAATTATGAGTGGATTGTTGTTTCTCTAGAAAACAGGAATATATAACTTTCCAGAGAATATTTGTTTATTGCATGATTATGTAAAATAATAAATGATCACGAATATTTGGGATTTATTGCCCGATTAATAAAACACTCTCTTAGTTACTTTAAAAAGTGAAAAACCATCTCTAACCCGCTCTTGGGTAATTATCCACTTGACGGAAACCATTCGAAATTATACTCATTGGAGGCACAATAGCCTTGTACAGTCACTATATCGAAATTTTAATCGAAAATGGATGCTGCGTCTAACGAATCAACACAGACAAGGTTAGACGATTTGTATCTTTCGAATTTTTATCGATCTTCAACAAAATCACAAAGTGTTTGCTATTATTATTGAATAAAAAAACTTACGGGTAGCGCACTTTTGTGGAACCTGGGAAAAAACACAAAGAAAAGAACGAATAATAAAAAAAATTAGTGAATAATAGAAAATAATCAATATACGTGTAAAATAACCACGTACAGGAAGTGACAAAAAGCGTCCTTTTGTTTGTCTTTTTTCACGTATATCGGTTTTGTTTTCACCGAGACATGCAACAATGCAGAATGCAGCAATCACCAAAGCTACCTTCATCTGCAAATGAAAATAATATTTGTTTTGTAATTTTAAAATGAATGAAATGACACCACAAATCCGATTAATTTGAATTCGCGATTGAAAATGAATAAACACTTTGAAATTTCAAAGAAAAAAAAAACAATTTATTTTTATTTTCGTTCAACGCAGGAAAAAAAACTTTACAAATTAACCAATAATAATGTATTTGTCATGAAGGTTTGAAAATTAAACTACAAAAAGGAACAAATTGAACATTTATTTCACTTGTAGCACCTTGCCACTGAACATTGAATAACGAGCTCAACGAATTTTATTTATATTGAACTGAATCGATTCAATTTATACCTTTCACTGATTTTATGTTTTTTTTTTTATAAATCCAAATTCTAGATGTATCCAAACAGGTCCGCGTATAAATGAAAACAAAAGTGTAACCGTAACGCAAATTGAATTTATAGCACAGAATTCTCACCATTTGGAGCTCGCAACAAATCAACAAAGATACTTCGATACATTTAAAAGTGGGGGGTGCTTCACGAATTCAAGCGAAATTAACGTTGAACGACTGTCGGAATGGTGCTTCAGATGGTAATATATACACATCTCGTGTGTCTTTACTTCTACGTACGATATGTGGGATGTTGCAAAAGCTATATAGCTATAGATCTATAGATTTTGATTTTTTTTATTGGAATTTTTTAGAAGAATCTCATGACAAAACAATTCGATTGGAATGGTACAATAAAAAAATTAATTCAAAGTCCATATTAAAAACACGTCATGCATAAATAAGTACAATTTGAGATGGATTTCTTTTCATTACTTTTCAATGGTTCTAGTCAACTTATAAATCCTTTGTCAAATAGGGCGATGTTCTATTTATATAATTGAACTTATTTTGTTTTCACAAGTCTTGTATATGCGTGAATCAAATGCTTTCGACAAACACGAGTAACGTGAAATCGAGCCGATTTTTTAAAAAAAACTTGACACCTGACTTCATTTCTGGTCACAAATAAATAATTACGGGTCAAAAATGTAATACGTTTGTTTGATATAATGATGAAAATGTATGGCGAACCTTTAATTAAATCAGTAATGTGCGAAGGGGGGATAGGGGGGGTAGGTGGTTTACACCCCCCCCCCCTTTGATTTGGATGAGTCAAATTTTTTCGTGAAAATTATTCGAATTTGATAGGGTTTTTCACGAAAAAAGTGAAGACCTTTTTTTTTTTTGTTAGCTCATCAATGTAGAAAATTGAGGAGAATTCTTTCAATTTTGGTTCCGATTTGCTAGGGTTTTTCGCGGAGAAAATTCTTTCGATTTGCTAGGGATTTTCGCCTCAAAAAGTGACTTCCAAAAAAAAAAAACGAAAATTTGTCTGATTCGCTAGAGAATTTTTTGTTTTTGAAAAGGCATCAATCTTTGAAAATGACATAAATTCAAACGAATGAGATTTTGCTATATCACACGCATTAACAATAGAGTTTTGGGAGGAAATCTACCACATGTTAAACCATCCTGTAAACAATTATTTAAAAATACTTTTTAGTATGCATGCCCGCGTCGAAAGAACCGTTCGTTTTTTCCGATTATCTAGTAACCGAGTTATTTTTCGACTTTTTCAAAGTTTTCACAGTGCTGATTAAAAACGGTGCACTGCATTGATTGAAATGTGTGGTATTTAGAAAAATGTGTGGTATAGCGGGGTATAACAATTTTTCATCGATCTACTTTTTAAACAATTTTTAATGATTTTGCAAATGTGGAAAAATTTACTTTTTTGGAAAATTATATATTGGGTGTATCCATAGGTGATGACGAGGGTTCCTAGGTGTCGGATGACCCCCCCCCCCCCTAAAATATTTTTAGGAACCCTCAACAATTTTGGAAATGAGTACTGCTCTTCACTTTTTTTGATCGAGAAATTCTTTCGATTTGCTAGGGATTTTCACCAAAAAAG